TGTCAACAAAAATATCGAGTTTTTGCGATATATATTTATATATTTAAACACAGTTAGAAGATTAATTGGTTAGACGAACATTATTTTTACATTCTCGTCAAGTTAAATAAAGTTACATCTACTAAACCAGACAAGTTGACCAGATAATAAAAACCGGGTCTTAAACGATTAAATACTTATTAATAATATTATCATATTTTTAACGGAATATATATATATATATATATATGTGTGTGTGTATTTCATTGTGTGATTATTTCATTGTCAAAGTTGATCATATTATGCCACTTTATTCAGGTATATCATAAAAAAACAGCCTTTAACGTGTATTAATCAATTGTAATGTGATTGATCGAATTTATATTTATCGTTTCAGGATCGAGTGTGTGTGTATCTTGAATCGAGGTGGAAATTACAAATGTGAACAAAACTAGGTATATTGACCAATGAAATTATAAATATTCTAATGATTTTGCTCACTTCTGTAATTTTTACCTCATTTCAAGCTCGATCTCCTGCTTATGCCCTTCGCGGTCCTCGGAAGTGCGTCGCGCTTTTTTATCGGCGCGGCGCCTGGCAATGTCGCGCGAAGCTTACATAATCGGTAAACACGTTCGCAGTAACTCCGGTAGTGGTATCATTTAAAATGATAATTGCGCGGCTCCCACCGGGTTCATTCTGACGTTAGGAAACCGCGCGTGCACAGGTGCATCCTGACTGCACGTCGTGTCAGTGCCTTGCTTAACGGCGGCGATCGTGTATTTTCGCGGTCGCGCAGCACACGATATCCACGTCACGTAATTTACAATTTTTTTTTTAGGACTATCGCTGCAAAGTGCCACGTGTATTTACTGGATAATCCTTTGGCGATTGATCCTTGAACTTCGGATCTCGTCGGGAAATTCCCGACCACATATTAATATTAGGTGTAGTAAAAAGTCATCGCATATTTTTTAGCTCAAAGTTGTATATACAATATCTTCGTCAATAATGAATGAAATTCAAGTTTTAAAAAAGGGTTTTAAAGCTTGAAATCTCTACTTTTAAAAGCTTATCACATTTTTTAAGTTTATATGAGTTTGATAATTTTTACATACCAAAAACTACGAGCTGAAAAAGACGAAAAATTTTCTTCTCACTTTGTGGATTTGTAACGTGTCCAAAACGAATTTGAGAAAATTTTCGATTACCTATCGTGAAAGCTTGATACTTTCCCTACAAAATCGTTTTTTTTAAATATTCCTACGACTTTTGATTACTGAGTTATCGCGGATTAAATAAAAGAATTATTTTGACTTTAATTGCTCATAACTCCATTAAAAATTGTCGTATCGTATAATTTAAAAAAGAGATTTTTAAAGCTGAAACTTTACTCTATTAAGATATATTTATATTGTTGGTAAGAAAGTAATTGCGGTTTTTACTGATAGATGTCTTTTAAAAAAACGCGATGACTTTTTACTACACCTAATATTATCTCCACGATTGACGCTTCAATTTAAATGGGAGTTAAAGTTGAGAAAGTAAACATTTTTATGTATCTTTGTGCGAATCTTTTTTTTTTGTCTTCAAAGCCCACTTTAGACAGTCTGTAATTTCAGATTTCATAGTAGAATTTTATTTACAATTTTATGCGCCATGCATTTGGTAGAAGGATAAAAGGGATGCATATATTTTAATACATACGTATAATATGTTTAATATATGTGTGTAATTTTAATTTAAATATTTTTTGTATTACACGGTAAATATATAAATATATTATATTTGAAAAAAAAAAAAAGGAATTTTACTTTCAACTTTGACACAACGTATAGGTTGTCTAACATAAGCTTGATGCAATTATCGATAACCTGTAGTTAAAATAGTCTTTTATTTTTCACCATTTCGGAGCATCCTCTATAATAATCTCAACGTTTAAACTACAATGTCCTGCGTAGAGATATATTAATATTTATCATAGAAAATGAGAGAGAGAGAGAGAGAGAGAGAGAGAGAGAGAGAGAGAGAGAGAGAACAAGTTGTTTTGTAAATTAGAGATAAATGATGACGAATGTCTTTTCGAATATCCTCGATAATTTTCCTTCAATTTCCACGTTATAAAACGACATCAGTTGCCCTTGGTCTGAAATGAAGCTGATATGACAGCTATTAGATATAGGATAGAATATTGCATTATGCCGAGTCTGTGTGACGAGTAGATCGTTCGCGATTAAATATAAATGCACGCGCATTTACGGCGAAATCATCCGACATTCTCACAAGTCACTCAAGATGGAATGCTATTTACATGTTTTACTTTTGATGATTCA